CCTTTACTCTTTCTGTCGATTGCCTTGACAAATTGTGCAGGTGTCCATTCAACACCAGATTCATCGAACGCGTCATTCAGTAAACGGAAAAATCGTTCTGTCCGCGTGCCATCAAACGACTCGACAAAATCTATGTTCACTGTGGCCATTTTACTAGTCATATTTGGAACTCTGTGGAGGATATGCTCAAGAGATTGAGGACAAAGATGGTGTGATTTGATAGGTTGGATGGGCAGTTTCCGGATCTTTAAATTAAACTCAGTAGCTTCTACAGAATTAAAGAAATCCTCAGATGATTCCGATGAGCTATCAAAGCTATCAATCTTCAATGAGCGTGTCTGTCAGGAACTGAGGGTAGAGGTTACTGGGATACAATGGTTGCCATGGGTTACGAATTGAGTAATCAAGTAGTAGAAGGTGGACTCTTTGAGACCTAGGTTGCTCTGGTTACTATGATTTATATATAGATTGGACAAAGCCGTAGTAGAGGGCCTCGTCTTGTCTTCCGTCTTCCACTGGCCTTGTCTCCGACCTAAGATTCCCTCGTCCTTAGTTCTAGTTACAATTATAAATTTATACCTTTGACTCTTGCCAACCTCCTCAGATATTTCCCAAGTCACTTTGTAACACCCCCGATGCTACCTTTGGCACCATCAAGTTTGATAGTGTCCTTCGAAATTTGGCCAGGACAAATAGAAAGGACCAAAAAAATTGAGCGAGAATAGAAAATAACTGTCGACTCTCAGATTTTGTATGGTTTTTATCACGGTTAGGTCTCGTTAGAACGGAGTCACAAGAAAATCGGAGGTACGAGAGGACGAATACGGGTAAGAATATACTAATAAGACGTTGCACAATCTATCCTTGAGTGCAACTACTTAGATACTTATATTTCATTCCTGTGCTAGCATCAATCATACAAATAAGTAAGATAATTGTGCGTCATGTAACTTATAGGTCAGGTCATAAGCGAGAACTATAGGTACCATGACAGTTTGTCTCAAACAGGAGTCCTGTATGCTGTTAGATAATTGTGCGAAATGACGGTCCAAGGATTGATCTAAGTTGTGCAAAGATGTGTTCCTAATTTCGTAAACGGTACTATGCTGATGAAGAGTTTTTTCAAGAGATGACATTCTGCACCAAAAGAGGAAGTTATGATCGCTAATTCTCTAGGAGAAGAATGACTGTGTTTCCGTGAGTCAAGTGATTCAATTGACAATTCGATGGTATGTTGCAGGTTGTTCCCGGAATCTCGCCTTAAGTCCTCAAGATGTTTTTCACGAATATTCGTTCTACAGCGTGTGGGAAAGTGGGAGTTATCTAACTTCGTTGCTTACGACCTATGTACACTACCACTCCAGAGTTCCCTGCGTAGGTCACCAGAAATCTGTTTAAGTTCGGAGCTGTGGGAGGTTGCAAGTACTCTATTGTTTTCTCTCTACGACGCGTAAATACACAACCACCGCGCTACTAGTTCTAAGTACATAACCTCATTACGTAACCCGCTACATCTCTGCCGCCGAAACAGCGGCAAATCTAGCCCTCTGTTCCGCCGCCATCTCTGGCATCGAAGCAACCCTCCTCCCTTTGACCAACAGGTCAAGTAGACAATTCGTAGACTCGATGAAAGTCTACCAACGCGCCGCTATTGCGCAATACATGGCCACGGGCCCGGCAACTACGCCACCCGTTCTCCCTCCTCGCCCGACAAACCCTCTCCCAAGGGCTCCCTCCGCCAGGAGCCAAACAATACCCACCGTCCCAGCTCTGCCCGTCAAAAGCACTTGGGCCACGGTTTCCAGACACGGACTGCGACAAAAAGCAATCCCTACTGCCAAGGCTATGCCGCGACCTGCGGCCAAAGCCCAACAAAAAGAAAACCCCAAGGCAAAAGTCGACAAGCAACTTTTCCTTCGCCTTGAAAAGGAGCACCCGTGGAGAAAACTGTCCACAAGTTGCGTGAGAAGTAAATTGGAGATGAGATTCCTTTTCTTTCACAATAAAATAACCTCACTTCATCGAGTGAGGACCGGCTTTGCTCTGCTATAAAGGACGAAAAAACACGACAAGAGATGCTAGATGGCTCTTTGAAGCTGGCAAGTGAAAACGCCAAACTCGAGGCATCTCCAGATCTTGTAGCCTTACAGATACCCAACGTACCTGTAAGTATAATCACAGAGCGAGGCCCCATGGCGGTCAATTCTGAGTGGGTCTTCGACAAGATCGCCGTTACAACCGGCGCAAGACCAATACATGTCCGACCTCATGGGACGTGTCGACCTGGGGCACCGCACCGAAACTGGCATGCCCTTTTCGACCGGGAAGTCGCCCCTCGTACGGGCTTCCGCCTCTTCGACAAGTCTGGTAAGGCTACAATTCACAAGCCTTGTCAATAAATTGAACGGTGTAAACGCTGTTTGGGCTCCCAAGCCATACGTGGTTGCTCCTGTGCTCCAGCCTGCTGGAACTGCGGGGAAGGCCCTACACTTGGCTTCCGAGTGCAGGGCCCTCAAAAAGTGTCGTAACTGTGGGGGGCCCCACCGATCGGATTCTCGGGACTGCCAAGTCAGATCCAGAAAGTCTGGGCCGGTGACCAAAGGGCAGCTTGCGTGGATACGCCACCTCGAGCAAGGGAAGTTTGCGGAGGCAGCTCGAGCTAGGGCCGCAGCCAAAAAGGCCGAAGTGTGACGGCTGTTAAGCTGAAAGACTCCTGTAGCCTACGCTGGCTAGCGTAGGATATGGCACAAGGGGAGGGTCTCGGAAGCCACAGAACTTCGAATATTCTCAGTGAACCCTCTGGAAACACACTGAACGTTCATGGGGATAACAGGTTTACCGAGAACCTTCTAGGTAGTTGTAGAAGCGTCTCAATTATTCAGGTCACAGGGAGAATCATGTTGAAGGGCAGTAATTTAGAATGTATATATATGTAGACTTTACATTGGGGAATTCTCTTCCCAGAGAATTATAATTAATATACTGTACTTACAAGATCGCCCAAACATCTTGTACTGAAAACGTGACACGAAGAGACGATCGTCGCCGCAGGGAAGGATGTCGCAATGGCCGAGGCAACAGGTTTCAGAGTACTGGGATCTGAAGAAGTTTGAGGACACAGCAACCTCGATAATGTCCCCTTCTGGGGCATCTACTTACAATTAGCAGGATACCGGCTGGATCAAAGGTGCCTGCTAACTCATCTACTGCTCTCAGCGGAGATTAAGTAGATTTGTCATTTGGAAGGTGTGCCGGACGGCGGAATGTGTGAGGAGCACATTTACTGGGTCCATTATGGAGGAATCTTCTGGTTTTCGGAGTTGTTTTGATTTTCTTGATTTTTCGTTTCAGTTCAATCAGCTGTACTTTTGGTAGCAATTCACGATGTTGGAACGAGTTAGGCTGTAGGAAAGATTACAGGGAACCCTACCGGCTCCTCCTGTACTTGACCCAATGTGGAAAAAATAGCTGTAGCTTAGGGCAAAATAAACAAAATAAAACATGCCATCAAGCCCCATACATGCTTGCCCTAGAGGACACGGAAATTTCAGGCAGAAATATCTAGACCTCAATCCAGCAATCTATTATCTAGACTGTGACACAAATTAGGATAACTGAATAATTTATTTATTTATATACGACGATAACCCAGTTCGAAATTTGCACTACTCGTGTAGTGGGTGTACTTGCTGATACCACTCGAGACTTTGGTGCTAAGGATTTTTACCCTTCCCTCAACCGTTCATATCCACCAAAGAGAAAACAGTAAAAACTCTTTGGCTACCCTAACATGCCTTCGCCATCTTGTATGTAGCCGCCGCGCGAGATATGGCCTTACAATCCTCCCTTTCTCGAGTGAGGTTGGTGTCCAGGCTAGCTAGACTTTAATTCGGGGAGATGACAAATAGGAGGCGGACCAAAACACCTTCCATCGCTGACAGTTTTTAGAGCGATAGCACTATCCTAAATCGTTGCCCCTGCGCCCACTGACACCGAAAAGTCGTAAACATTCAAAAAGTGTGAGTCCCAGTATACCCATTTGTGACATCTTCACTCGTTCGTTTCACGTCCCAGCTGCTTGTGCACCCTCAAGATGTGAAGCCCTATTAGAGCAAAGATTCACCATGGACCGAGACCTGATCTTTGTAAAGTATGACTTTAATTCCTCTTTGTGGGTATAAATAGCATCGTAAATTTGTAGTGGGAGATGGCCGGTTTTTGATAAGGCAAATGCCCTATTCCAATTGGAGTAACGCCATTATCGGTATATGAGACGGGATGGTTTGTTAAGATTGAAGTAGAGAAACTGCGTGAGATTGATAATTCAAACATTGAATAGAAGTCGTCGATTTTAGATAAGCTTGAGGTTGCTTTCGGTTTCGATTCCTATGCGGTTCTTTTCAGCTATCCCAGATATGCAGAGCATACTGAGCGATTACAACGGCACCACTGGAAGGTGAAGAATTCGTTTTATCTGGCGTATTGCTCGTATTGAGAGTCCGGCACTGTCCGTTCACGAAAATTGTTGATGACTAGCTCACACCTTGCTTAGTTGAGTCTGACTCGAGGATAGCTACTAGTTTTCGGGAGATTGGGATCATGTAAATCAATTTGGCTTTAGATGTAGAAGTAGATTTGTTCATCAGCTAATAAATAAACCTACCTTTCAACAAACAAAGGCTCAATCTCATCGGCGGACTGATTTACTACTGGATAATTTATCTTATATTTCACGATAGAAGCCACAAATAACTTCAAAATACTGACTAGAATGGAAACAAAATTTAAATTAATATCTAAATCATTAGGAGCTCGTGGCTTCTCTACTACAATAAAATCAATGACGTACAGAGGCTTCATGCTAGCATTATTTTTTCTTCACTCTGTCGATGGAAAATTATTCCTTAGGTCCCAAATGTACCCTACCAGTCATATTATATCCCCTCAAATTTAAATCTTGTACACTATTCGTTCGTGGGAGGTTATGATACTGTAGCCGCTTATACCCTTTTCGGAAGACTACCATAAGCACATCCTTTTTCATTGAATGCTGCATCGGCCGCAGCTTTCCAAAGAGCAGTGGCATCATTTATCATCGTTTCTGTATAAAACATTCTACAGTCTGAGTCTTCTCGGACGAACTGAGCTGGGAGCCCATCGCCCAGATGACTCCGGGAGATAAAATCCTGAGCGTTGATGTTACCACTGTAGGTTCTCTGTATGGCAACGGGTGTCAGCTTTTTCAAAACTTCTGTTTGGGCTTCCGAAGCATTTTGTAACGCTTCTTGTGCACAATTGAAAATTTCCTTCCAACTGAGAGACAGGGCTCCCTTATTTCCGCCTACCCCCTGCATGGGACCTTCTTTGGGCCGACCTCCTACGACAATAGATTTGACTCCTGCTTGATCCCGCATAAATTTGGAAAAACTGTGGCAGGCAGATGAGCAGATTCCATCGTGGAGCTGTAACAAATTAGCGTTAAAAAGTAGTCAATTGTTCTGTCATACCAAAATGATATTGTTTGCTTCAAAGTGCTGCGTGAAGTTCCGGCGGGATCCATATCCAGTAACAGAGCTGAAGGGGTGAATGTCAATGGAACTGAAGAAAGGATCATTCAAGTTATGTTGAATGGTGTTAGTAAAATTGTCACCCTTAACTTGGTACGGACCAAATTTATCATCGAAACTCCGAAATGGCTTTTTGCTCGCATCTAAATCAAAATGGTGGCTAAACCATGAAATATTCCATGGAATCTGATGGTCAGTGGTAATAGCAGGATCGAACTTATCTAATTTAGTAGCAAATATATCGGCCATAGCCATGAAAGCTTTTCCGGCCCTCCAGCGACTAATTCCTTCCTGTTCAATGGTTGGAAAAAATTGTCGAAACAAGTCGTAACTTTGTAAAATATATCCACCAACGTTGGCACTCAAATCTATGATGATTTTGGTCTTACCATCTCTCTTTGCATCTACTAGAAATTGTTGTGCAACTTCCTGAAATTGGGTTACAGATTGTGGGTCAAAAGCCATAACAGTTAGGACAGCTACGTCCTCATATCCTTGCCCATCTAGATAGTGTCCGGATAACATAGATTCATTAGTCGCGATTACGGGTTGTGGATAGACGGAGTCAAAATGGGAAAAAGATGTAACAGCTGAATCTTCCTCTTCATCATAATCAACATCGATTGCACAAAATCTATCATAAAACTGTTGCCCATTGGCCACATCACTAAAGTTTGCCAAAACCATAGCGATATTTTCCAGGATAATCGATGATCCATTGGCAAAGGTGAGTGTTGTGGTAGGACCCGGGTAGATATATTGAAGACGACCACCTCCCCAGAAGTAGCCTGCCTCGCCAGTTTCGGCAAAGGATCCTCTGTTATAGAACATGCTGTTGTATACCGCATCGGCATCTCGATAACTAGTAGCTTCACTGCCGCGCTGGGAGATAAATGTTGAGGCTTCAATGCCATTAATTTCGGTGACGACTGACCCCTTTCCCGGCGAGTTATAAACATCATCTAACTAAGGTCAGAAATTTGTACCTTTTATAAACGTACAGTGACCAAACCATATAGCTTAATGACGGGAAGCGATCGTCCGTCCTCGCTAACGGAGACCAAAGATCGCTCACGACGAAATGCAAATCCCTTACTTATGGCATCAGGGAATATGACCAAATGGCCGTCACAACCTTTCAGGAAGACTCGATACAGATCAATTTGAAATACATACTCGTTTGCATATTTGTTTGCAACTAAGTTTCTCCGGACTTGGTCTAGGGCGGCGATGATATCGTGGGCAGGACAATCGTAATCTGCTGGAGGATCCTTTTTCCATGCCAAATCTTTTGATTGGAAAATTAGCTAGCTTGTCGCATTTCATTTGTCATGTACCTACCACTCTGCCATTCAAGGTATGGCTCGATGGAGTCAACAAAATCTATAGCAGCTGTCTTGTTGAGGGGTATCGAGTTCAGGCATTCATAGGCAAGCTGTGCGGAGACAGTTGGCCAAGCTAGATCCTCGTCAGATATCGTTGCATCTATCACAAAAATTGCATTTGGGACAAACCAGAGGGAGCTGTAGCTACTTGTGCAGCGGACGAACTGCTGACAAGCGCGCAAGGCTCGACAAAGCTGTCCTCCGCAACCGCGGGCGGCGAGGTTATTTGAGCCGGCGTAACTAATGTTGGTCTTGTCTCCGTTGGCGCAAACTCACACGCGCAAGCACTAGCGATGCGTTGCTCGTCGATCACATTGTTTTCGTCTTTACAAGCTATTCTAGTCTCATCTGGCACGACAACAGTCGGGTCTTGAAGATATGCAGTGCAGAAATCTAGGGCAGCGGCATGGCGTCCAGAGATGTGTGGTGTTGAGCGAAGTGCGAGGAGACAGCTATCAGCAACACATTCAGCAGCTATGGAGACGGTTTGCAGTAGCAAAACGATCCACAGATATTCCATGGTCTGAAGATCTGGTTTAATTGAGCACAAGAAGTATGAGTGGTAGAATTAACCAGATGATAGATATTGCTGATACTTCTTCTCCAGGAATTGAGACATCGGCATATTTATACACACGCTTTTCCTCGAATATCGACGGAGCTGGCCTCCGCATATATTTGCATTAAAAAAGCTAAGGCTAAAGTCACAGAATGGGTACAGTGCAGCAGCCCGGACAGGTATAGCGAAGGATTTGATTTGATGTTTTAATATTACTTGGGACAGGGCAGGAAATCAGGCATCATGGGCTATTGTGTACTTTGATTCAAAATACTAGTATCGTTTAATACTTTTCAGCTTTGTCTTCAGAATTTTCAACCAAGTTGATAAAATCGACAAGAAGCCTTAATTTGGCAGACTTCAAACTTGTCTGGAAGAGAATTGTGTTTTAGCTTGATCGGAGTCCACTTCGGCTCCATCTTCTTGCATTCAAGACTTAGGACGCTTGCATTCCAAAAATTGGATCGCGGCTGATTTGCGGGTTCTAGTTTGAATTAGCAGCTATTTACTTGTTTACGCTATCCTGATTTGAAGTCCTTCGAGCCCATGTTGATATCTATGAACTTGGTATTTACGTGGGAAGAAACCTTTGAATGAGACCCACTAATCCTTTCCACTTAATGTGTCATGTTTTCCTTCACTTTCTTCCAGATGCGCAATTTCATAATAATGCCATCCGTCTAAGCTAATCACATCCTTTCTGTTAACCCTAGGACTTACACGCTACACTTCATACCCTCAGCAAAAATTCGACGGCCGTTTTCATCTGGAGAGAGAGAGAGGGAGGTATGTTTATTGTACTACTTAAGTCTTAGACTATCTAGCACATTGGGCTCCTTTCTGGCCCAGGCCACACCTTTTACATTGCTCCTATCGCTTTTTGTTACTTGTAAGATCATTGATATACTGTCTGTCATGAATAGCCATTCGGTTCAGCGTTTACCCGCGTAATTTAGCCATCTTCTTCATGGAACCTTCTAACCAAAATATTTTAAATAAGGAAAAAGTCTCGAAAAAACCTGCAGCCCCAGCCAGCGAGGCCTAGACACTGGGACCACATGAGGTGCGCATATTCATCTACATCTCCATTCTTAGTAATAGTCGAGGCCGATTTGATCCAATCCACCATCTCTGTATCGGGTGCTGGGTACGCTCCGGAAGCTCATTGGGTGGCTTCTCCTCCATGATCAAGGGTTGGTGATGAGTGGTGCTCCGACCCCACTATCTGATCTGGTCGTGGTCGGTTTCATGACAGTTGTGATAGGCGAATGTGTTGAGAGATGAAGACGATACAGACGGCGAAAACGATTGGGAATCCTCGTCGAAGTGAGGACTTTGTTACTCAATCTCGGCTCTGCAGCCTCTTCAATGAGAGCTGGAGGTTCGTAGGGGACACCACTGACAGGTGTTGAGAATAGTCCCCCACTCCATCATGTCAAATTGTAGGGATGATTATGTTTGACCAACCCTTCTTATAATTTAACAAATACCACTATGAGGTATGCTTGTTTACACAAACAGCTGACCCTGCTCCGTAAGTACCGACCAAAGGGAATTTTAAAACCTTTGATTATCCATGTATACCAGCGCCGCGAGGAACGTGATTGTGTTTTGCCGGATTTGAAGCAGCGATCTACTGTCTCGAGTGGCAGGTGTGTACAAGCTTTCCAGACTCTACTTTGCAGACTGGCCTGGATGATGTACCACCACACCATCCAACCATGGCGATATTTATAGTGTCGCCTGCACTCTGCACCTATTGTTCTCTATTGGTAACAGTGACTAAGCCTGATGTAAGGCGTGTTTTTTTTTTTGCATCAGATTTTAATTGCGTATGCAGTTATCTAGCTATGACACAATATCAAAGAAAAGTACAGAATAGATGATTCAACGAAAAGGAAGAGCACTCATGCCTTGGGTTTCGTTTGCAAGTACCATTGCGAAGTTATGGCGGCTTCTTCTTCACCCAAAGTCATCCCTCATCCGTGAATACCCACCCTGGGGAACATCTCAAAAACCCTGGGTTATCCAGACATGCCTCCATCATCTTTCAACTTTTCTCCGCGCGATATGTGATCTGAGGTGTCTCCTTCCCAAGTGGAGTAGGTGCCCAGGCTACTCAAACTATACCAGAGAACACGACCAGGAGGCGGACCACAACACCTTCCATCGTTTGCTTGTTTTTATATTGTCAACTGCACTCTCGCAAGCGAAGTCTTGGCGCGCACAAAGCCCAATTCGAAAAACTCCTTGCCAAAATTCAGAATTTCACGCCCGTCGAGGTTTTATCCTTCCTTCGTATCATCTTGTGAACTTGTCCTAATCCCTCTCACGTCCATCCCAAGAGCTATCTCCCAGATTTGTGCTCCACGATTTGCTTCCTCCGTCGGGTGTAAATATCGGCGTGGGCGTGTGTTTGGTGGTCAACTGAGGCCAGAGAAAGCGGACGGGAGGTATGGTCATTGGGATGAGGATGAGGATGTACTAGGTCGTACTTGCAGACTTGATGAGACTTTGGTAGGATTCAGACTCGTAGGGAGCGAAAAAACGACGTGGTGGAGTAATTTGAATCATTGCCTCGTGGGCCAACTTCTTTGATATTGCGAAATTTGACTGAACTTGGCTCTGGGAGAATATTTCACTCCCAGGTTCGTAGAGGACACCGCGTACAGGTGTTCAGTCTTGCCCTCCTGTAAGGCGTGTGTAGCGAGGTTGAAGCGAGGCTACGATCCTTTGACACACACATGAGGTCAAGGAGTTGATGGATATAAAATAACATAATCACATCTTTGTACATAGTATAGATATACATCTTCTACATTTGCCATTCTCATACTTTTCTCTTCGCTCACTGATACTTTACCCTGCCATCATCGCATCACAGTCGCTCTCCACCTTTACAATAACCTTTAGGATCTCCAACAACCATCCTTTTCAGATTAGACTAGAAAGTAGGTTAGAGTTTCCAGTGGTGTGCGGAAGAGCTTACTCTCATGTTTTTGGAGAGACTTCTCGCCAGATAGATAGCGTTGATCCTGTAGATAACAGCGACGACTACTTTAATTTTGATTTGATTTCATTATCCTGATTTGCCGCCCTATGGGCCTATGCAGGTGACTAAAGCTATCTATATATTTACATATGAAGAAATCTTTCAACAAAAGCCTCCCCGGCTTTGTTATTTGTATATTTAAGATTTGCAAAATATCCTTCAGGAAGCACAGTTAAACTTTTGAGGCGGTCCTGTCTCGTTCTCTATTCAGCATCTCGAGCGCATTTGTCACGCGGAATTGTTCTATGCAAACATGGTTGAGAATCCGTTATGTAATTCATATAACATCGTCAGGATTGTCTATCATTGCTTCAACGTAGCATTTTCGGGCTTTTTCCCAGATCTCACCCCTACCACTTGACCACTAAGGGCACGGCACAATCATGTGCTTGGGACTTTGTGATTGGTAGCCACACAGACAGCATGGATCAAAGACTCCTAGTACTTATTTTTGGATTTATATTATAGTCCTAACTGAGTCAATGACTATAGAGGACTCCTAGAATCTTTAAATAAGATACTAGCTACAATTTTTTATTTCCAGTTTTACAATCTTAAACTATTTTCTTATGGACAGTGAGGATCAAGCCCTATGATCCTGGTACTTTTCTTCTTTGCAAACACGGATTAAGCCCGACTTGCTCGCTTCCAATTTGGATTGCTAGGCTACTTTGGGCCCTTGTCAGTTAATTTTTTTAGGAAAGTAAGAGGGAATTCTTGGAGGCTTATTCATTGACGTCCAGAATATCGGCATTGTCCCTGAAACTAAGTTGGTGATGAATAATTCGATTTATTAGACTAAATTAGGAGAGAAAAGGACTCTAACTACAACTAACGGGTACTTATAACGACTGATCCGGTTCGTGTATCTACTAACTGATGGCTTTCCTCCAAACTTCAAGCTCGCTAACTAGTCACGTGGGGGACTATTCTCAACACCTGTCAGTGGTGTTCCCTACGAACCTCCAGCTCTCATTGAAGAGGCTGCAGAGCCGAGATTGAGTAACAAAGTCCTCACTTCGACGAGGATTCCCAATCGTTTTCGCCGTCTGTATCGTCTTCATCTCTCAACACATTCCCCTATCACAACTGTCATGAAACCAACCACGACCAGATCAGATAGTGGGGTCGGAGCACTACTCATCACCAACCCTTGATCATGGAGGAGAAGCCACCCAATGAGCTTCCGGAGCGTACCTAGCACCCGATACAGAGATGGTGGATTGGATCAAATCGGCCTCGACTATTACTAAGAAGGGAGATGTAGATGAATATGCGCACCTCATGTGGTCCCAGTGTCTAGGCCTCGCTGGCTGGGGCTGCAGGTTTTTTCGAGACTTTTTCCTTATTTAAAATATTTTGGTTAGAAGGTTCCATGAAGAAGATGGCTAAATTACGCGGGTAAACGCTGAACCGAATGGCTATTCATGACAGACAGTATATCAATGATCTTACAAGTAACAAAAAGCGATAGGAGCAATGTAAAAGGTGTGGCCTGGGCCAGAAAGGAGCCCAATGTGCTAGATAGTCTAAGACTTAAGTAGTACAATAAACATACCTCCCTCTCTCTCTCTCTCTCCAGATGAAAACGGCCGTCGAATTTTTGCTGAAGGTATGAAGTGTAGCGTGTAAGTCCTAGGGTTAACAGAAAGGATGTGATTAGCTTAGACGGATGGCATTATTATGAAATTGCGCATCTGGAAGAAAGTGAAGGAAAACATGACACATTAAGTGGAAAGGATTAGTGGGTCTCATTCAAAGGTTTCTTCCCACGTAAATACCAAGTTCATAGATATCAACATGGGCTCGAAGGACTTCAAATCAGGATAGCGTAAACAAGTAAATAGCTGCTAATTCAAACTAGAACCCGCAAATCAGCCGCGATCCAATTTTTGGAATGCAAGCGTCCTAAGTCTTGAATGCAAGAAGATGGAGCCGAAGTGGACTCCGATCAAGCTAAAACACAATTCTCTTCCAGACAAGTTTGAAGTCTGCCGACTTAAGGCTTCTTGTC